AAAGAACTGTGAACTATTCTAATTCAATCATTTGCCTGCGTAACGTACTGTCTAGTTAACGATTTCGGCGGCTTGATCTGTCCTTTGAAGAGATTACTCCCGTTTTTTTCCCAGTAGATACCACTTACAGCATTCTAGAAAAAAGATTACACCTTATAGACACCACGTGGAATATACCTGGATAATTAAGTAGTTGACTCTGAGACTACTTGTTACCTAGTTGATACCTAGAAGCTTATTCCAGAATATGATTTCTCCCGCATGGTACCCCGTGCACGTACTATTATAGTTAAGTTTTCCAGCCGCTTGATACGCCGTGGAATATATATTCTTATACGTCAAACGCTTGAAACCCGGTGGACGACCGCAGGACTCTTCTAGACCGCCTCTTATATATAATTAGATAGGAAATACTAACCAGCACTGTTGAATATATTCAATCATAGTATAGGAATACTATTTACAGCAGCCACTACTTGGGTTATTAAAAAAATCAATAATAATAATGCAGGAAAGAATAATAAAGATCTACGATGACCAACGTTGAATATACTTGCTGTATAAGTATAATGACGGGAAATTCCAGTGTTAAATATTTATATATTTATTGTATGAAAATGTAGGAATAAATTATAATGTTTGACAGCAGTGTGTTAAATATATTTTTTAAAAATATTGGGGAAACAAATCACAATCATTTGCATTAGGTAATATTGTAGAAACAATCTAGAAATAAAATAAAACCAAGTACGAACAATCCAAACCATAAGACAGAATTCGAAGTCCTAAAAAACGTTATAGGCAAAATAGTGTATTCAAGCAAAATAGTGTAATCAGCAAGATATTTTGAAATAATAATATCAGTATGTTAAAGTACAATGGTATGATTATAATGTAGGAAAAGGCCGCAGGGGTCGACCGCTGTTATTGTTAAATATAATTCTGGTAATTCCGATATATCAGGCATCTGGATGGTAAGGGAGGCAACTTTTGTCTCCTGCCATTGCATAACATCCGCTCCTCCCAGGGACGTTCCTAAACTGACTTCATAATACAGGTTCTGCCATGCGGACGTAAATAAATCTCTCCATGACATTTCCATTGATTTACCATCAAATGATCTGGAAATTAGTAATTTTGAACCCGCTGAAATATATAGAGTAGTAATAATAGTAACTTTATTCATTCAGAATATACCATTCAATATATAAACCAGTAGTCACATTGTACAGTCCATTCGACGTGGTTCCACTGCATGATAAAATTCAAATAATATTAAGAAAATTAGCATCTTTCTAAACACAGGACAAGAACAATGTTCATCTGGTTAAATGCGCTATCGTTGCAAATGTACGGCTGCAATGTTTCCCTAAAGTGTTTTCGAACTCCACTTCATAAACGAAATAAATGATACCCCAAACTGAATCCAATTTCTGGCATAATCCAATCAAAAAAGTAAAGCCGTTTTGTTACACGCGGATAATATTACACATCGTAGAGCAAAAATGAATGTTTGTATTGGCAGAATGACTTATACAAACCTTGTAAAATAGGAGGTTGTGCTACAGATGATATTACTGTTGATATAGAATTGCCTTGTCTTCCTAATACATTAATAGTAGAAACACTAACATTATAGTTAGAGTTAGGTTGTAGTGATAAACTTCTTAATTTAGCCTGGTTATAACCAATCTCTGTAACTCGAACTTCTTTATCTAAATTATAACCTTGACCATACACTGATACCTAGTAATAAAATACATAAATCTAATACTTGTAATAACAGTCAGGGTGGTTATTCTAAACCGAAACACTAAATCGTTTTTTTATGAAAAAGTGCCAATTATCTAAAATATCCCCTTTTCTTAAAAGATATATACCTTTATAGACTTGGTCTCAACTCTGATATTTTCTAAATCCCATTTTAATCGTAAACTATCAGTCACTGGATAACAATCATCCTTCACCGGATATGCAGATACTCCATCTTCATGAATAGCGATCTGACCGTCCGCTATGGCAGCCATTTTGATTATAACCAGAACGCCATCAGTAGTAGCTGTAGTTGGCAATCCAGCTTTATTATAACATCTTACAGTAGAATAAACTAGTTTAGAGTTCTGTATTTGATCAACACTGAGTTCAACTTGAACAAATGATTGTTTATCTGGTACAGGAGTAAATGGCTGTATATCAACACCGCCTTGCGTTGAACCTTGTATATAAAACATTAATTGATAAATGTATACACGTGTGAATAATCCAATAACCTACATGTAGTCTAGTTGATACAAATAATAGATTGTATGTTGCAGAAAATAACAATAATTACATTCGACCTTCGACTTAGAGATACGTCATTGTTATATGTTGTAATGCAAAATGAATGTGGATAACGTCCTACTGTTTTACACTGGTTGGGCTAATAAAGACGGGCATTCGCCATATAGTGTGCTACGAGGGGAATCTTGCCTATAACCCATTCACAAACTACTTTATTACAACGTTGAAAATTTTAAAGTATTACCTATAGCCCATTGACAATATTCTATTCCTGATTCTGGATCTCCTATTTCCCAATTAACTGATACACGTTTCGTCAGCTGGAAATTTACATCATTCGCTAAAATGAACAAAACATATTTAAATCAACAGCAGAGAAAGACAAGTTAAAGTAGCCAAGTCTCTAACTCGATATCATCCAAAACCTTCGATAATGAAAACATGAATTATTTGTCAATTTTAATCAACATTGGTGTTGTGATCTTACCGACAAAAGATGGGCTTCTGATATCCAATATTTAAGACAAAATAAACATTTTACGATTGGTACACGAATCGCGTACCATAATGCATTTCAGCGCAATTTGTAAAAAGCGACTCGGAGAACGAGGTTTAACATATTTCACAAGTCATGTCAAAGGGTGACCTCATATTTTTATCTGGAGAGCATGCGCAAAAAATACTATCGGTGCAGACTGGAATAACCAGACGCTAGAGATTGTCATTCGATTGAGACTTCTGGCATATCCGAACATAACTGCTTTGAAATTAAAGTAAAAACGGAAACGATTGAATGTAAATCATTTTTTTTACATTCATATATAATTATTATATAGGTTGCGACCTATTTGTGTCAATTTGTAGGTCCCAAATATTAGCGATTTAGCTCCTTTAATATATTAAACAAGAAACAATTTTCGGTGCCATCACGTGGGTGTGAATTCTTCTTTCACAATTTTGATGACACCGGTTATGTGGTTTTGATATAAACCAAAGCTTAAACCTTCGACAATGTTAACTTTGATTGGTTTAGTGACGAGTAAAGGACTACCAAGTTACAACTAAGTTTTTACCATGAACATAGGTTCTTTCAATTTATTTAAATACCTGATATTTCATTGTGGTGGCCAATAATATTTTCCATTAAAGTACCTCACAATAACCATTTAATTTCTTACCTATACCATCGTTTATCTCTGATATTATTGGCGGAGTCATATCGACAACAATACTCTCTGATTGGCTGACAGTTGTTAGTCCGGCGCCATTTGTTGACATCACGGTCAGATAAAGTAGTGTATTATGGGCTAATTGGAGACCGGATGCTGTAACTTGCTGATTTCTGCCAACATTTGTGAACGACCGAATCTGGTTTCCACCTTTCACGGTTCCTGGATTTTAGAAGAGAAGAATGCTCCCTGAGTAATTTTTCAATATAATCGGTAAACATATACTGATACCAAAATCAACTCGATTTCTAATAAAATCTACGAAGAAAGGAAACGTTAGTTATAAATAAATACTGATATGATATAAACAATAATGTATTACTTAACTAGTAACAGATATATTTACATAATATAGTAATAAATGTATTCAAACTAAACTCACCTAGCGCCCATCGATAATCTGTAATAGGACTTTGATCATCTTTAAAATGCCAGGTAAGATGAAGAGATGACCAATAAGGTCTAAACACTGTATGATGTATTAAATGATTAGAATCACGTGTTATATCTATATAATTAACTTGTTGTACATATACATCATCTACAGCTAATATCATATGTAATTTACTTGTACCAATTCTTATCACTTCTCTTGCTTCTCTTGGATGGAATACATAAGTAAATTTATTCCATAATATTAATGGCTGTTGGTCGATGGTACATATCCCCTGACATCGTTCTGGGTCAAGGCTGAAAGTGTGAGTTTCTTGTCCGAATTGCACGAAACCTTCCACGTTGTGATGCTGAATGCTAACGTCATGTGGGTATCCGACATGTACAATAACATGGTAAGCACTTTGGGTGTTTAAATTAAACACTGTTTGCTGAATATGACCTCTCACTTTTATATATGTTTCGCCTTCGTTTGAAACGGACGGTTGTGATTGGATGATTTTAATACAAGAGGTGGTGTCTTTAAACCAAGGAGCTGGTGGTTGGTCATCACATTCCTTATTTGATTCCGTCACGCCTTCTTCAAATGATGGATTGGCGATGAGATTTTCTCCAATATATTCTATATCAACCGGTACTGGGGGCGTGATATCAATTGTAATACCATCAGACACTACTACATCAGATTTCAACCCACTCCCATCTACAGCATACACTTTATTATAAATTTTTATACCTATAAAAATAAAATACAGTAACGGTATTTGTTACGGTGGCAGTAATACTTTGATAATAGAAGATCGCATTGGAAAAAAAGCATTCAGAAACTTTCTTCTAAAGAAGAGATGGCTTGTGGTATAATATATTTGAGGGGGGCTCTTTCTACAGTTAATTGAAGAGATAAAAGAAACCTTTTTCATTATCTTATTCTCGTTCACTATACCAGTGCAGGGGACCGGTATCGCAATTGTCGAGTCAAGAAAACAATATGACGAGTGATATATTAATCCCTACTGTAGAATCCATAGTGTCACGATATTGAAAGGATTTTTATTTAATTAATCCAATTCTTATCTGACGGAAATTGGGATTCAATTAATATGGAAACTTTGTATTAGAATGCCTACCATGATTTAAAGGTGAGGTTAGGTTTACAGACACTCTAGTATTTAATCCTACATTCTTCCAGTCGTGTATATTACAATCTGTAGTACTAATACCAGTACCAATACACCAGTAATATTTAACTATACCAGTACCACTATCAGTACACCCATACCATGATGATGATATAACTGTTGTAGAGTATTGGTAATCTTTATCATAGATATCTGTTAAATATGAAATAATAAAAGACCGTATCCCCCAATTTATTATGGTTGTCTATAAAAAGCATAAATAATAAACTTATCACATAAAGGAAAATAACTGGGAAATATGTACCAGATTTAAAAAATTAAAATCGTCTTAAATAAGTCTATGTGGGTGAAAATTATACAAAAAAACAAATTATATTAAAATTGACTAGGGTGAATATTAAAAAAAAAATGATATTATTTTTTATGTCAGTTATCAGCCACAGTATCTATGAGCTATGTTGGGTAATTTGATATATATTCAATAATTTCAATAGTTTACTTACCATTACCATCATGTATAATACCGGAAGTGGGAGTTGTATTGTCTATTAATATGCCATCACTATTGGCCCAGCTCAATAATCCTGCTTTATTATAAGCTAGTACAGTACTATAATATTCTCTATTCTCTTGTAGATTTAGATTAGTAGCTGTATATACACTAGTATTTCCAGGTACTCTTGTAGATGACTGATGAACGTTGTGGCCTACATTTCAGAAAAAGAAGTCAAAATCGCTATTGATTACATTATTAAAAGACGCATTATTTAACATAAAGAGCTAACAGTACTCGCTATAATGGTTTCAAGATAAATAGTGAAAAGGCAATATATTGAAAATTTCAGTCAAAGTTTTCTATTCTGAACGAAGTTATCAATGTTTGAAGTTTTGATAAGAATAGCGTAGTCTCGATTTTCATTACTACCATTGTTACAATAATAAACAATGTCTCGATTATCTCACTTCAAATCATCAAATTCTGATATTCTAAAAAGTCGAGTATGGGCATTCTTGTGAATAAATGTCTAATAATTCATATATCATTTTCGGCTAAAAGAAAGATCTAGCTGTTATATAATGTATCTTTAAGATACACTAAACTAGAAAATAAGAGTGGGCGGGACTGATTAAAAGTGTCCTTAGGAATGGAAACCTCATTTTAACAATGCTGTCATAAAAATAATAAATACTTGTTTCCTTTAAACATTCTGATTCGCAAATGTCATTCAATGTAATTATGTTAGTATTAAAACCCACCTTGTGGATGTGTGCTTATATAAGACTTAAAATAATCGAATCCATGAATTCCTCCTCTAAATTTATTCTTCCAACCAACAATAATCTGATTGCTTGATGTTTGGTAATCTAAATCCTTAACACTTGATATAGTTTCTAATTCTTTTATCTGGATAAAAAATAGAGAAATATATCTCAAAATCAAATCAATAATTCTATTTAAAATAGGTTAATCAAAACGAATAAAAAAGTAATCGTTCTAATAACAGTTTTAATTAAATAGTTTTGTGTTTTTAACTTATTGTATGTACTTACAGCAGCTGTCGCTATGTGACTGACACTAGGCGCAGACGACAGTGATGTAATGCCGGGAGACTTATATATCGCATATTGATTTGTATTATACCATACCCTCACAAATACACTATATGGTATAGACTTATCTAAAACCTTAGCTGGAATATATAAAATATTATTACGAAATTACATGTACTAGAAATACAAAGGGACATAAAGCCGACACCTGTGGCACACCTTTACAAGCAAGAAGATTTTTGTTTTATAGAAATAAAATGAAATGAGATGGGGTTCAAGTCCCACTGTTCTGCTCCCACTGGGCTAATGAAGACGAGCGTATGCCATACAATGTGCAATAAGGGAATTTTTGCCCGGTCAGCTGCACTATGGCATACTCTTCTATCGAATTCCAACTGCCAAATGATCTTTTACATGTACGCCATTGTATGCGTGGGACCTCGGTTTTTCATTCCATCCGAACGACAAGACATCCGTCCTTGTTAGGCATTCCATACTGCACCACTTTAAATGTTTCAGTGTTTATAGTTAAATATATTGATGAGATAGTCTAATGAAGACTGTGTGCATTGTTAATATTGCATACTAATAAATATACAGCATTAATGATTGTTTCTTGAAAGAAATGAATACAATTTTTAAAAGGTATACCTGTAGGTAAAGTTATTATAGTTTCGGTATTTTCACCAACATCAAACCATGTCCTTTCTGTATCAGTGTCATATATTCCACTGGGTGAATTTTCACTGGAATATCCGGCACTACATTCATATCTAAAATATATGCCGAGTTTGAATTCCTAGTAATTTCTATAGCGTTCATTAATAAAATAATGAACTAAAATGGACTTGGCAGGCTGAAGCCTAGAACCTCAGTCTTACACACCCGTCATCATCATCATCATCATCAACTGCGTTTAAAACATATATTCAGCTTCCTCTAGTCATGAAGGTTAGGGATGTTTAATTTACCTTTTAGACGAGAGACCGTGTTGGTTGATTAAATAGATTTAATTACCTTTATATTCGCAAGACCTTGTCGGTATAATATACTTTAATTTAATTTACCTTATAGGAGAGATGCCTTGTGGGTTTATTATCCTCCATCTGGCAGCTACAAAATTATCAGACGATGTGTAGTAAGTCTGTGCAGCATCAGATGACATCAAATTAGTCATGTCAGTAACTTGGACAATATTATTTGGATTCCCTGCAAGGATGATTATAAATAAGAAATCAATCACATGGCCGATAGCATCAAATATACAAAAACATAGAAATACAAGTATAGGGTGGCATATAAAATCTGGAATTATTTAAGACAGACTAAACACTGTAGCGAATGTGAAGGTAAACCTAGGAGCAAAGCTCACAAAGAATTAATTAATATGAATAATTTTAAATAAAGTTGATAGATATATACCTGTTGAGATGTCTCTGCAGTTTTCAGCATCTGAACATGATTTGTCTTGTGCAGCACAAACACAATGTCCAAGACAATTATACGGTTGACATCTCCTGACTAAATCTAACATTCCTCCTTCTGCAAGTTCAAATTCAGAATGAGCAGGCTGACTTTTTAATCCAACCTATGTCAAAAATAAAAATGAAATGATATGTAACACAATAAAACAATTAGTAGTAGAATATATTCGTGGTTGTGTTGATAGGTACTGATGGGGAAGTGGCAATTTTGTCTACGACAGTATTATTTGACAGCTGTGATACATTCCTTGGGTTTAACTAATTTCTCATCTTATACTGCTTATAATACACTAGAAATCAATAATTACCCCGTTAACAGCCCATACAGATATGAAAACAGAATTGCCCATATGAAGTGTCTTGGTAGTTATTGTAACTGATTGTACCATTCCTTCATCATCAAAATTATCTCCAGCTACATGTTGAAACGTGGTTTGTTGATCGCCCTGTTTAAAACAATTTTCAGAAACGAATTTAGTGAAAGTATAGAAAATATGTCACATTAACTAAGATTAACTGGAGACCGAAGCCAAGTATTTAATTTAAAAGGTGATGTGTGTTTGAATGCTGCTAATTTACTTCAATTATTATATTTTGCTCACGGATACAACATATTACTATAATCAGAGATACGTGCCTGGTTGAGATCGGTAAGGAAAGGTTTGGTTCCAACACTGACTTTATACTCAGTTATACCAGTATGTAGATCGGCAAATCCCAACCATGCTAACTTAATAGACGTAGTAGACCAGTGATTCCAGTTATTCCTATCTCTGTTTAAGTTAGCGGCGTGGTCAGTATCAATAGCAAACATACCTGAAATAACATTCACAAAATATTTCTTTGAGAAGATACACACTTTGTACGATGGTAAAACTTCAAAAATCTGCATGATGACAAGTAAAATGAGATGGAGTTAAAATCGTTTATGATTATCATATCACTAAAAAAAAATCATAAACAAAATGGTCTGCAAATCGACATCGAGCTCACATTGTTTATAAATATCAAATTACTTACCAATATTAGAGTGGAAAATAAATTAAATGAATTAAAATTGCCGGCTTTCTGTTATGTATTTGGATTAACTTTGATCGTGAATTAGTGATCAGGTATCACGACCTTTGTTCTTCTATGCATGCATAACCATTAGCGCTCTCAATCAAAAGAATCAATACACGTACCTCTGGTAGGCGGTGTAGAATCAACTAGTATATCATCTGTAACACTCGACAGACACAAACCAGCTAAATTACAACCAATCACTTTAACTTTATATTTACTACCGTCGTGTAGAGCGAGACCAGAAAACGCAAACTCTGTTACCACACTAGGAATCTGAAGAAAAATTAGTAATATATTCCCTAAAATTGAAAGTATTCCAACTATACAATTTTACCCTGTCACTGTTCATAATGTAATAATATAGGGGTTATTTTAGTTCTATGAAAGGTGTTCTGTTTTATATATTAAAGTGGTTAAACAAATAGGTGATAACGAGAAATGGGCTAAGTAGGTATTTCGCAAAATTTCATTTTCTTAATCTCACTCACTGACAGTTATGCCAGTATCCATTTCTGCAAAGGGGTTACTATCGTCTAGACATTTGATGCACAGATCAGTACAAGTAAATAGAATAACGCTGACGTTAAACAGCAGCCATACGAAACACTCACCCAACAATGGTAATTGTCCCGTCCTAATAGCTGACACATCTATACTTTCTATATAAGAAAGAGCAAGGTTAAATGTCCCTTCAGAGATCATTTTTAGAGATCATAGGAAAGATATCTTTCGGGGTTCCTAGGGGAACATCATATCCACAACCTCCTCGGCTTAGAGGCCGGAATGGCTCTCGCCACAGAACACACGCTAAGTGAGAACAAGCTCTAAGTGCTAGATAACTTATATTTAGCTTATATTTATTGTCATAGCTGGTGTGTAGCTGCCTGTATGTAACCTGTGCATTGTGGATATTATAAAAATATAAAAAACATAGTTAACCAACAAAGTCTTCCATAGTCAATTGATCCTTGAAGTTTTATCCTAATTGACTGTAGAGGCACAATAAGACAAAGTGGTAATGGCACTGCATTTTTTTTTAAATAACTGAATGTAATATAGGTATGCTATTTTCTTATAAAAATATTTCATGTTTTAAAAAACAAAGCATGTTTAAAATTATCAATAGGACGTACCTCCATAGCTGAAGAAGTGAAATCTCCCAATAAATGGGGTGAAATAGAAATGTACTGTCTTTCTATATCCGATTCATCATCAGTAAACTTCCATTCAATTTTAATACTAGATTTTGATATGGTAGTTGAAGGTAAAATAGAACTAAACGATGAAACGGGAACTGCCCTTTGCGCCACTACTGGTAATGTTGTATCGATTTTAAAACCATTTGATGTAGCTTCGCTGTATAAACCTAATAAAATCAAATCTAGGTGCAGTGGCGGCTTTGAAATGCACAAATAATACAAACGATGATGATATAAATATAATAATAATCCTATGCAGTTCTAACAAAACAAAGATGTGGATTCGTCTGAAAAATAAACCCGGGTTTAGAGGAGATAACGCTGGCACCTTCTCGAATCATACTATAAAAGCCTTCTGGATCCACATTCCATTTCAACGCCATGCTAAATTATAGTTTGTGTTTGTGAGGTCACAGGATAGCTAAATGACTAATAGGCAATTTATGTAACACACATAACCAATTGGACTAACCCAGAGGTTGCCAGGCACGATATGCCCACATTTTGCAAGAGATGAAAAGAAACCAATGCGATTTTGTACAATCAGGGGCCATAATGCGATACATGCCAATTTCGACAGGAGCCGGGATCTGTGGGCGATAGACCAATATGTCAAGTTTCATCAAAATCGGATAAAAATTGTGACATGTAGAGTGGTGAAAATGTGGGCGTATAAAAAGACATCAGTTGTGATCAATATCCATCTCCTTTACATATTTAGTCTCGAATTGAAATAGTTTGTATTTAGTGGACGTTAAACCCCATTTCTCGCTTTATCTCCGTTGTGCTAAGATTCTGTGGTAAATCAACATGACCCAACCCTTGTATCAAATTCAAATAAAATTGACATCATGCGTTCATCGTGTTCACCATCACCCATGATACCATAGCCCGCAAAGGGGTGATAACTCTAAACAATTTTAGCAAGGCAGATAACCTTCTTTTGACTAGGACTCTATTTATAACTACTTATATAACAACAGAGCCGTCCCTAAAGCCGACTAGAGCACATCCTCGCTATATCCCCAGTGGTCTCATTCCGTTCTACTCCATGATACCCTGGCTTAATTTCAAATTATCTTCCCTGGCCTTGATTGTGGCTAAATTCTACGAAACAATCAAAAAACAGTTTACAGACCAGTCTTACTAATGACACGACCCTCGTTTCGCGTTCGTAGATAACCCATTCATGTCCATCTACTGAATGATTTATGTAAATAATCTATATATTTTTAATTCATTTATATTTAATTGTATTATCAAAATCTGTAGTACGTTCCGTTGATTTCAAATATGCAAAGCATCTATTTTTACTATCCATTCTTTGTCTGAAATGTTTCATTCTGTTATGTCCGTCTTCCTTAATATATTATATAATAATTGGTGTTAATAAATACGCATTAAGTATAATTTAGGCTACATTCTGGCTAATAATAACCCTGTCTCTTGAAGGGGAAGCCCTAGCGGTTTTGCTTACTTTATCCGATGAGAGTTACTTCCCTTTGCAAACTTCCTTTGCAATTAACAATTTATGGGATTGGTCAATAAAAATAGCACAATCGACAACTTGAAAACATGCCCCCCCCCCCCACCAATAGATTAACCCAGGGGTTAGTGTACCGAGGATGGCTACAGCATATTGCGGACTTTTATATTGGGTCCACAACAGTAGTGCGTGTTCAAGTACGATGTAAATCAAATTATTGTTTTTGTAAGCATCACTAGGGTTATCAAAATAATTTCAGTCATACCTGCTTTATTGTAACATCTAACAGTAATATAAATTCTAGTATCAATAGGCAATAGTTTATTATCAGGTAAATTAGATTTATAGGCCAGTTCCACCACTGGTAAAACTTGAGGGCTAAGTAACTCTTCGCCTCCAATGGTTGTCCCTACTCTCCATTCATATCTCGCTATACCAGATTGTGCATCTTTAAACCCATACCATTTGGCGCCAACAAAGTTTCTGAAACCAGGATGAGAATTCTTAAAGGTTGCACATTATGTTAACCTATTCAATAGTAGAATCCGATTCTGTAAGATAATAATAGCAACACCCTTATATAAAACTACGCAAGCTGCCCATTTCCGCTTTAAGAATGTCAAGCATCTAATTAAAACGAGTTACTGTAAAATGCATTTTAAGACAATATGTACCGGTGTGGTGTGGTCTCGTATAGCGATAAGAGACTTGATAACCGTGATCCAATAATATTCTTGGATCCTTATGTCTATAAAATAAATAGACTCGATAATCGTGTTTCAATTACCTGGTTGCTTGGAATTCTACATCTAAATCTTTCGTTCCATCTACAACTCTTCCCATGTCCGGTGGTGTCACGTCAATTATTACCCCGTCAGAAGTGACCGACGTACACATGTCAGCCATATTGCACCCTGTTACCGTGGTGATATATTTTGTTCCAGGAGTAAATTTGGACGGTGGAAAGGTAAAATCTGAAATATGTATCGGTTGTTAAAATTTATTAGAACATCTACCATATTTGTATAATAAAACTTAACAACATCTTCTTGGAATACCATCAATAGTGCAATGAAAGAAAAGTTGGATTGTACTTAAAAAAAACAACATTTGTAATAATATTTCCTTACGTGAAGTTATTCCCGTTTTGATTTCTGGAATTATGTCATCACAATCATCACAGGTACCAACTTTAACAGTATAGTACTTCATTGATGAATGGGGATCACGGAATCCTTGCCATCTAACAGAAAGTGGTGATTGGTTAGTTATATAATCTACGTCATCTTCGGTATAGTTTGTATTAAGAATATCGATGACATGTCCTGTAGTAGGAGGCGTTGTATCTACTGTCACTGGACGAGATATTAATGTAGTAGATAACCCTGCACCGTTAATGGCCTGAAACACAACAATAGACAAAAAGTTATTCTAAAATTGGTATATAGAATACAAAGGTGACCAGCATATATAGCATGAATTTGAAAATGTTTCTATTGGAAATGACATCAGTTATAGCATACCTTCTTAACGATTAGTGTCTATTTATTTGAAATAATTATAGGACAAATAGTAAAACACAATGTTTGTTCCCAACTGATCATTACATCGAGCATAATTCATGAAACTATTTTTTCTATCCAAAAACGTAATGCAAAATGAGATATACCTGAACTGTGATGTAATAAACGTGTCCATCTTGTAATTTGTGTTCTAGGTTAGCTTCATCACAATCATTATCTGTTATCATATATTCCCTAATGTTTTGATGGCCTGGTCTAGTACCTATTGCCCATCGATACTCACTTATACCACTTTCGGTGTCTTTAAGTGATCCACTCCAACTGTAAAAAAATCATGTAAAAGGAATGATCCACTTGAACTATAAATAAATCAAATAAAATGACTCTTTAACACATTATTTACAACTAAATTTCTGCCAAGGGAAACCGAAGCATTCTGTTCTTTTACTTTTACATCAGACCTCTCTGTGTTATTACATCCAAACGACCAGATCCGGTAATTTGCTGGGCCACCCGTCTTCGTGAAGTCCAAAGCATCGATCCATTTAGCTATAAATGGTAAAAGGGATCGTACACGTGTCAAGCTCGGACTACTATTTCACGCCTTCAGAAACACCGGTAACCAAATACTTTTGCTGTGGTTGATGGCTTTCGTTTTGTTTTGTTTACTAACACTAGATTGTATATACACCTACCACGCAGACAATACATCATTTGACTGTATATATGTATTAGTAAATTGTACAGGTTTAGATGTAGTTTCTGGTGGACTATTATCAACTGTGAAACCTTCTGATGAAACGGTTTTTGTTCTGTTTACAAAATCAATTGCTGAAAATAAAAAAAATAATAAAAATATGGAACCAACGAGGGTGAAGGCGGTTGGGAGAGATAAAATTGTTTTGATGATATTACTAACGAACGAGCAATTTTAACAACCGGGCAATACAAGAATGGTATATAGCTTTATAATTAATTACACGAATAAAGGGCAATAGAAATCAATTTATTTTGTATAGTAGAATGGTATATAGCTATATAATTATTTAGACGAATGCAATACATGAATAAATTCAATTTAATTGTTTCTGTTTGCTAAGCCAGAAATTGTTTTAATTATGAAACAGAAAGACGAATTTATACTTACCTTCTACAGTGACGTAATACGTGTGGCCATTTTGTAAAGAAAGATGGTGGAATATTTTATGATTTATCAAACCAACATTATGTTTAGTTACAATATCTTCACCTCCCTCTATAGAACCTTTATATGTAAAAGAAAATTTACAGAATGTAAAGAACAGCATATTTACAGATTGACAATAAGGCATGTTCATCCAATATTATATTGTTGATTCAGCGATTCCTGTCAAATCCTTGAAATAAATTATCCTTACCGATATATAAATGATATTTTGATATTCCACTTGGATGAACAGTTTTTCCACCATTTTCTTCTACGTCAAGAAAACTATCCCAGTAGACGGCTACATCACTGTCGGATGACTGAAATAATATATTGGATTATGCATATAAAACTATCACAAAAACATTAATTCAGTACTGGTGTAAAGTATATCAAAACCGCTGTGTGCATAAGAACTACTTAATAAAATGATATATTCATATATATTTCGAACTGTATAATGCAAAAGACTTACTAATCAAATACCAGAAACAGCAGATAGCTAAACAGCATATTATCCGAGGACGGAAACATTACCCCGAAACACAATTAATCGGGCTAACAGGGAATGAATGACACACCATATGTCATGTGTGTTCGAATATACAGGGATCGAAACATTATCCCGAAAAACAATTTGTACAAAGTATATTAATACCGCTATAAGTTATATAAAACAAAAGGTGGGCTTAACCAGACTTACTAGAAACAACGGATAAATACATCACATATTATCCGAGAATTGGACCATTATACCGAAACACTATGAATCGGGCCAACAGGAATGAATGACACACCACCTATTATAGGTGTTCGAGTATACTGGGATGGCCATAACGGGGTTCGACTATATTTATACAGCAGTATTACCTGGTATTTAAATTCGTTCAAGTTCTCCACCCACACCCGACCACCATTTGGTGGAGTCAAATCAACAGTTACTCCATCACTACAAGAGTTTACTTCTTCCAATTTTTCCGTCCATTTTTCATGACCAGCAACTACAGCATCAGCATGGATACAGATATAATACCGTCTTCCGTGTTTTAAAGTATTTTGAGTTAAAACATTGATGTATTCGTTTTCTGAGAAAAAAATTATAAAGAAATGCGGTAAAATTTAAGTATTTATTAAAATGATGAAGTCAACGAAGAATCCTTCAAAGTAAAAAAAAATAGCACAAGGAACCAATGCTATTTTGAAGATTACCGAAACTCCCTCACCGGTTTGTCCACACTGTATAACATCTGGATGTGAACAAGGATCTCTTATCATCATCTTCGGTTGAGTAAAATGTGTTAGAATAGAGAATGCCGGGTCTTCCAGTAAACCCCACGTATAGTTTCTATGTCTTAATGTAGGCCATACAGCTGATATAATATTTTTATAAGATGTATAGTCCACATCTTGTTTAGACCAGGCTAGGTTCAGATCCAGAGAAATTGACTTTCCGATGTCATTTGTGTTGGGATCTGAAATACAAAACAAACAACATCTTCATTGTCGTCAAACGTTTCTAATAAAAGGATGTAAATGTCATTATCGGGTCTGTCAAAACTGCGCGCGCGCGTGTGTGGGTGTGTGTGTGGGGGGGCGTTTATTTCAATTGCACGATATATTCAAAAAATACTTACCGTTATTTAATGGTTGTCCTATAGCATCTATAACAATAGCCGGTATAATTAATACCGGATCTACAGATGAACAGTTTTTAATATCCGAAGATATTATTGTTGATAAACCAGCTTTATTAAATATTCTTACAGCCAATCTTCTACATTCACTAAAATCAACTTCACCATCTAAATTAATGCTAAACTGAAACTAAGAAATAGAATAATATTACATGAAATAGGTTCGTGTTGAAATGAAATAGGGTTTGACGTCCTACTGTTCTGCTCCGAACATACAGTGTGCTATTAGGGAAATTTTGTCAGGACAGCGGCACTACGGCCTACTCTTATATCGAATTCCAACTGTCAAGGGATCTTTTACGTGCATGTCGATGTGTACACGGGACCTCGGTTTTTCGTCCCATCCGAACGACTAGACAGCTGTCCTTGTCAGGCCCTTCGTCGTGCATCACTCACAAGGGGGGAACCACGCCGGAAAATCTGGATGAACATTCTCCGTCAATGCAGGGATCGAACACCCGACCTCCAGGCTAGTCTTACCCACTTAGCTACGTGATCCCCGAAATAGGTTCGTGTAGTTACATAGATATCCTGTTGAAATGAAAAACAACACACATATATTTTTGCTTAAACGCAACCATTTTTTTGGGTGCACATCACTTATGCTGAGAACCTGATACATTTGGTAGTTGCGCATTAACACAGTTACATTTTTTTGTTCTTTCTTTCTATGGGTATGCCTAATATCTGTAATCAGGGTTACGTTTTAGGGCATTCCCATAATGTATACAGCTGTAACAGAATTATAAAAGCATACAGACAATCTTAGAAGTCAGACAATTACCTTTATCTCGCTTATTCTCTGTACATTGTTTACTTTACTCCATTTAGTAAATAGATGACTATTGTGTTTATTATCTGTTATACTCCACATATATTTATCTATGGTAGACTCAACAGAACACACTTTATCTTCGGTATTACTCTTGTAAGTCAAGCTAACATCTAACTGGGATATGGAATAAAACATGAAATGATAACTGTATTATAATCAATCAGAACTTCATATCAGATTACATTTAGAAGCTCATTGACAGATTTTAGGTGCATACTGTGTTAATTGTATGGCTACTTCGTTAGGTTACATGCCGTCACTGTGCTCATTAATGTGTTGGTACAACGTCATATTAACGTTAAGTTGTTTTATGGGTGATTGTGTTGGCATTCGACCAGCAACTATTACTGTAGTGAGCTGCAAATTGAATATTTGATTATGTATAAATATTGGACATATACAAAGAAATCATTTTATTTAGTTGGATTATATTATTTATATTTGAATTACCTGGGAACCTTGCATCGTTTTGTGGAGTATATCTATATGTGGCATATCAGGTTCGCTCAACACTGTTACACCATTACTGACTACAGGTCGAGAACAAACTTCACCCGAACAGAACCTCACACTGCTTCTATATGTTTTACAATAATCTAATACTACTTGTTGGAAGATTTGACCAGAATTTGAAAGAAAATTCTTATCTTCTACATTGTGCCATATATCATCTGTTAAATAACGAATAATAATTTAATAATAACATTCCAATATCAGTTTGCTGATTAACCTTCTTTATTTTTAACAACCATTCTATTTTTTTATTCTAATAATAAATATATCCAAATGCTATTCATTTCAAAGTAATTCAGTCATTTATTTCAAAGTAATTCAATTATTTATTTCAAAGTAATTTAATCATTTATTTCAAAGTAATTCAATATTTCATATACCTGTGTTTTTCTGTCTCATTTGTAGCGTCCATTTAATATCAGGATACATATGTTTATATGCATTTGATATTGTCCAATGTGCCATGTAATAAGATGTTGATATTTGATAGTCAATATCCGACTCACAATCTGAGCTTGAATTCTGTGTTAGAAAAAAATGGCGTATAATCTTAAAGTGTTCTAAATTGTTGTTTAAACGATTAATTTGACATTAATGATTTTATCCAAAC